ATCACCTCTGCCCGACCTCACGTCCATCCCCACCCGCCCATCACTTCTCCACCATCTGCTCTGCGACGTCATAGATTTGTGTTGTGCCTCGCTCCTCGGACCACCGAGTGAAGTCACGGGGTACTGTGTTTCTGCTGATGGGCGGGGGCCGAGGGCTGTTGTTGAAAGCGTGTGGTCATCGAGTAGGACGTCATAGAAATGTGTGTGGTCCCCTTGCATGACGTCAAGCGGGTATTTACGCTCGCAGAGCATGACGTCACCACCGGAAAGATTTGTGTGGTCACCGTGCATGACGTCACTCAGATTTGTGTGGTCACCGTGCATGACGTCACTACTGGACAGATTTGTGTGGTCACCGTGCATGACGTCACTACTGGACAGATTTGTGTGGTCACCGTGCATGACTTCAGCGCTCGCCGACACAGCCCTGGCCACTAGAGATCTCCTTGCATCAGGCCCGTCCACCAGACGGTGACGTGTGAGAGACTTGTCCGACACCAGATCCGCCGTCAGGTCCTCGTCAGGTCCACTACTCCCCATGAGGCCGCTTCTTGTATCACAGCGTTTGGGTTCGATTCTCGGGGCAAACCCTAACTTCTCAATACTGAAAACGTTACTGAATGTTTCGGCGAGACGCGTGGTCTTGTCGTAAACGGTATCGTTGACGTGTGCCTGATTGAAAGTATCGGCAAGATGCATGGTCTTGTCGTAAACGGTATCGGTGACGTGTGCTTGTCTGAACGTATCGCTAGGATGCGTGATCTTGTCATGAACAATGTCGGTGACGTGTTCCCCTTGGTATGTGTTGCGAACGATATCGGTGACGTGTGCATGTAGGCCATTTTCGTTAAGGGTGTCGGTGACGTTTGGGTATCGGGCATTCTTGTGAAGGATGTCGGTGACGTGTTCGTGTCGGGTATTCATGTGAATGGTATCGGTGACGTGTTCGTCTCGGCCATTTTCGTTAAGAATGTCTGTGACGTGTGCGTGTTGGTCAGTGTCGCAAACGCTGCCTTTGACCTGTGCATGTCGGCCATGCTTGTAAATGGTTTCGGTGACGTATTTGTGTCGGTCACACTCGTCACACTCGTTCAGAGTGTCGGTGACGTGGGTGTTTCGGTGGAGAAGTGACGTACACGCCACGTGGGAGGAGACTCCATCCCGTCTAGATGACGTATGACCGTGAGTGACCGACCGTTTCTCTGAACCAGACACCCCTCCCCTGGGAGCATGCGAGGACACGACACCTGCAGCCGGCCGAGACGTACCACTGGCCACACGTTCGGGCATATCGGAAACGGCCACCACACTCTGCTCAGGGTCGACTTTGAGGCGACGTGACGACAGACGAGCTGATGACGTGCCAGTGTGTGTGAGGAGGTCAGTCGACGTGACTGGTCTGGGCCTCCTGGTGTGCCCAGCAGTCATTGTCAGTCTAGTTCTGCTCTTGTTGCCTGAGAGGTTCGAACCCAAACCTCTAGGGAACGCAGCTGCTGTCCTGTCCATGATGTGACGTTCTTCTTCGGTTCCAGAGTCACGTGACCACATGACGTCAGCCTCAGGACTGTGCTGTACAAAGAGAGGATATCTGGACAAACGCCCGCGGGCCTTAAGTCGTTCCGTGACATCTTCGCCAAATTTTATTACGTCATTTATTTCTGTGACGTCAGCTTTCGTTGTGACTTCAGTTTTCCTTGTGGCATCAGTTTTCGTGACGTCAGTTTCGGTACTTTGACCTTTCCCCTCCGGAAACCAGGACAGCTGGACATTCCTCCGCCGTTGACCACCGCCACTGGCTGTTCCTTTACTCACAGCAGACTGACAAGACAGACTAGAAGACACACACAGACGCTCACCCTCCCCTCGTGGTGTCTTCACAGCGCCACCTGTCACTAAACAGTTCTCAACAGTTGTCGCACCCTGCAGTAATCCACTTGGGATTATTTTTCTCCCCCGTACCGGATTATCACCCTCTGAGAGAGGAGGAGGAGAGGATGGAGAAGGAGGAGGAGGAGAGGATGGAGGAGGAGGAGGAGAGGGTGAAGAAGGAGGAGGAAGCAGTGACTCGTCACCGTCCATCTCCGATATTCCCGCGAACTGGAGACACTTCTTCACGTCACTAACGGGCATGTGTCGGAACATTCTGGCCAACATCTTGGCGTCCCTGAGTGACCGGAGCCGGTAGCGGGGGCGGCAGTAGGTGTCCTCACAGGCCGGCCACTTGGCCAGGGCCAGCATGTAGCTGACCGACGTGGACAGGCGGGAGGTCAGGAGGTTGTTGTTGCGGTCTCTTCGTGAGTGCACGCTGGGGAGGGGGG